AAAAGGAGGAGAAGAAACTAGCTCACCCCTTTTCTTCGAAGAGGAGCCGCCAGATTTCTGAGATGGAGCAACAGCTCTAGTATACTTGGGCAGGAGAACTCCCAAATCTTTACAAAGGCAAGCTTTGACAGTCTCCAATTTCCACTCCTGGTCCCGGGAATACACAGGTATATCTGCATGGAAAAAGTGAGCACACACGCATAAAAAAAAAGGGAAAAAGAAGAAGTGTGCAGCATACCGGGTTTTTTAGCAGCACCCCAATGTGTTGGCACCAAAGCTCTGTCGGCTTCTGAAGCCCATTCTCCACCAATAAAGAAGAAACAAGATTTCCAGCCGCCGCAATTAGAGCGCGTTCCTGTAAGCACTGTACCACTCCGTGCGGTAAAATAGTACCATCCCCTATTTGGTGTAGGGGTTTCGCTCAAATTATATACTGCATGAAACTCCATAGGGGAAGCATCCTCGTGGTGCACCTTTCTCCATTAAGCAAGAAAATCGAGAAGGACTCTCCAACCGTTGGGCGCTAGTCGCCCCGAAGTCAAGAAAAAAGTAATGCAAAACACGACAAATGAGGGAGGACATGAGAAATCTTAACCCAGCCTCAAGCATCTCCTCGTAGATAACAATATCCCCGGAAGAGCATCGCAAGCAAGCTCGCCCAACTCAGCCCGACGGCACAACACGGTCGGAGGGATGCGATAAGTAAAAACAAGCCTTGAAATATCTTCATCTAAGCGGAACAAACTAGAAAGGGTGCTCACCTTAGACCCGTCATCATCAAGTCCCACTTTGCTCTTGCGTTTTTTCTTCCGGGGCCTTAAGGAGTAGTCCAAATCACCATTGGGAGAGTCTTGAGGAACTTGAATCGGGGGAGCTACAATAGGGGCTTGATCATTAAGAGCAGCACCCAAAGCTTCCTTACTACTTGCAATGTCTAGCCCAACGCCTGGAAGTGTGCCTGACTGCTGTTGCTCGTCAAAACAAAGTTGCCCAGTAGCTTGAAGGGTGTCTGGCCCTTCAAAATTGCGCAAAGCAGAATTTTCGGCGCAAAAATCAGCACCTAAGGCGCCCAAATCAGCGCCTCGAGTGGGAATTGGATCAGCCCGTGCTCCCAGGCCACTGCCTAGCTCTCCCTGATGAACCTTGGACTGATTTTCAGCGCCCCTTGATGGAAAAATGCTGCTGCCCAGCATTCTAAAGCCGCCCAGCGCAGCAGAACTGAAGCTGTCCAGCGCAGCTGAGCTGTCCGGGACAGTAGAAGCAGCAGCCAGGCTGCTGCCAGCGCGCCTGGGCTGTCCAAGACAGCAAGGCCAGCGCCCAGGCAGCTGCCCAGCGTGCCTGGGCTGTCCAGGACAGGAGGAACAGAGGCCAGGCAGCCGCCCAGCCCCTCACCGCGCGTGCGCGCTGCGCAGCTGTGCTCCCAGCCGCTTCCCTTCGCTGCCCAAGCCACTCCTCGCGCTGCCCATCTCCCCTTCGCTGTCCAGCCCTTCATAAATCCTCCACTGGGGTTCTTCAACCTCCACCACTCCCTCTTCAATCGACATTGTTTACTTGAAAAGCTCAACTAGCAAGGAAGAAATCACACTCTTGAAAGGATTCAAGGAGAACACACTTTGGCTTCAACAAAATGGGTAGGACTTGAGTTCTCAAGGTTTTCAAGAGGTGGGTGCTCAACCTTAAAAATGAGTGAAATGGGTAACATGAAGAAGAAGACTATATTTATAGTTTTAGGTTTTTCAAAAAGAGGGAAAAAGCTCAAATAGAATATTATGGGCCCTCTTCAAAATAAAGTGGGAAAGACTTGAAGTATAAAAAAAATAAAAATAATAATAATAATAATATAGTCAATGCCTCCTTCTCCAAGTCTCATTGGACATGGGGCATTGGGGGACAAATGATGGGTTAAGCCCAAATAGTCCAATTTATGTGTTAAAGTCCAACCCCAGTGGAGGAGCCCAACCTCATTTTGAATCTACCAAGCCCAAGACAGTCCAAGACCAGTTAGACTTTTTGCTTAGCACGTCATCAAGAGGAGAGCATGAGAAACTTATCTGCACTACCGAAGGAAACGGTCCAATCTTTGACCGCGTTTCATGAAGAGCTCCCTAACCTCCTCCTTTCGTTGAGGATAAGTCATGATCTCCACCAGAATAATCTCTTAGCTGCGATAAAGTAGCCTTGAGGATAAGTCATGATCTCCACAAGAATGATCTCTTAGCTGCTATAAAATAGCCCAAATCTGTTAGAAGATTACTATAAATAGCACGCCTCACCAACACTTACAGAGGACAGATCGACGACCGGAGACCACTTCTTCTTTGATTCTTCATTCTCTCAAAGCTTGTATCTCTATTCTCCATACCTTTGAATTAATAAAATACCCGGCAACTGAAGCCATTGAAGAATAGACGTAGGTCGAATTGACCAAACCACTATAAATCGTGTCTTCTTTAATTTTCTCATTGATTTCACTGCATTTATTACCTACACTTGACAGATAGTGTGTAAAACTATTTTTGTGCATCATCAAGAAGTGTGACTCGTTTTTCATTGTTTGAGAAGTGGGTTTTGTTTTGTAGAATGTTTATTAGAATATGACAAAGGGTAAAAAAGTAAAATAATTCTTCAAAAGTCAAATTGTTTTACATTTTTTTCATTTCTGCCCCAAATTGTGGGCAACAAGGGAAAAGCCCACCCTCCAATTTTCCTTTCCATCATTTTTTACCTTGATATCAAACAATAGAAGTTTTTTCATTTACCCTATTTTTTTTTTCTATTTTCCATCCGCCCCTTTTCCTTCAAACTAAATCACAATAGATAATGGCCAAATCACAATAGATAAACTTTCCGATGTCTTATAACCCAACCTCAAAACCCTAGAATCATGTGGTTTTGTAATTGCGTGTTCGCGATCATGGAACCTTACTGTTTCTTTTATTTATTTATTATTTTGTCACATCAGATAAATTCACCAACCTAGTGGAACTTGGTTCATGGTCCTTGCTTGGAACCCACATCCGTCCAATCATACTTTTTTTAGTTGGGTATAGAGGCGTGAACCAGTGGCTTGAACGTGGACCTAGTAAGACCATTAGCGACCATAGGTGGTTCTTATCTAGTGGGAAAAAAAAGTGTGCAGCACGGGGAGTTTTTTTTTTTGGTACAGTGGTTATGAATATTTGAATTATCTTACGAATATTTTGATTAATTTTTTTTTAATTTGATTAAAATAAGATCATTTATACCAAGATTAGAGAATTCATAAGGAATAATTCTCTCTCATAACCTGACTCAAGAGAATTGTCAAATTTCGAATTTAAGACATCTGTGATTACAACTTATTCTTGTATCCACAAATTTACTTACGCTTTGGGGGTGGAAATTTTGTTTCCTCTCATGAACTATTTGCGTCAATGAATTAAGTTGATTCAAAATTCAACAAAGAGTGGGTTGATAAGAAAGCATTTCTTCATTTTGTCCACTACTTTTGTGGTGAATTGTACCACCAAGTTTTCCAATTATAGCTAGTGAGAAAATTGTGGTTTTTTTTTCTTCAAGAACTACTAAAAAGATTTCAAATAGTATATTTTTATTAATAATTAAAAATAAATATTAGTATCAATATAGTATCTCAATTTAATCTACCATAGACTAGTTGGACAGCTGTGTACACATGGGTACATTAGTATTATAGGAATTGACAACATTGACAGAAAAAAGAAGGGGTAGGAATACACTTTTTTAGGTATAGCTATACTAAAGTAGTCGGTTTCAAATAATATCAAATGTTTGGAATGAGTTCTTTGGCAATTGATAAATCTATGGTATCTAGATTTAGTTTTACAATATAATACCAAAAAAATAAATTTTAATCGCAAATTTTGTTTTTATTTATTTATAACCATTGGTTGCAGAGAAAATAAAATGACATGTACAAAAAAAAATATAAAACTTTGCACTTGCTAATTTGTGAACACCCAAAAAAAAAGAAGAGAATAATCCCGAAAAATTATTTCTCGGTAATATTGTCTAACCCGTTATCAATATGTCTACCAAGTATTTTCAAGTCTGTTTTGTAAATGAGATGAATTCAAGCAATGTGCGACTCGACGCAAAATACTTTTAATTTTCTTGCAAGAAAAACTCTACCCAAAAATTAAATAACTCAAAAACTTATTTGTAACTTACATATATCGATTTTATGCCTGACTTTATAAATTTAATTTAGTATTAAGTTCCATATTGTATATTTTAAAATTTTTTACCGATGAATTAAACTCAATTTCATTCCAAAAACATGCAAACTTTTTGTCAAGCCGAGTTTTTGTATGAATCGAAGCTTAGTCACTCACAATCAAGCCGAGCCTGCATACGCTCAACCTTGACAAGCTCAGCCCGATTATGATTGGTAACCCCCACAACCAAAGGGCACCAAAAACCAAAAGAAAACAAAAATAACACTAGAGCTAAAGAAAGGAAGAAAATCAACATCAAATAAACTATTCTGAAATTAAAATAATTCGCAGGGATAACAACGTAAAATGAGCAATGCTAGGAATCTCAAATCCACCTTAGATTGGTGAGCCTTTTTGAACAAAAGTTAGTGTGATCTACTCGTCCAAGTCAATACTCGTTTCAAATTAAATCCAGTTTAGAATACATAGGATTTTCCATCAAAATTAAAGCATTTACGGCAAGCTTTTGATTGCTTTGGAGTTGAGATGTTCAAACAATAATAGATTTGAGTTATAAATTCAGATGTTTTGAGTTTAAATCTTGATAATTTTTTGGGGTTAGACTATTAGAAATTTATCCCTTATGAATACCCTAGTCTCGGTGTAAATGATTTACCTTTAATTGAACTGAAGAGAAAATTAGTCGAGATACACATAAATTGACTTGAACACTCTTTCACCGTTAAACTAAAAAGAAAAGAAAAGAAAAGAATATAGTGTGTATAAATAGAGCCACCCAGATAAAGCTAAAGGCATATTCCAAGAGTTGCTGTGGTTTATGTTGAGAACTACAAAACCCACAGATATATTACATCTTTCTTCTTCAACACATCCTGGCAAAGTATCTCTACATCCTTCTTTGTTTGTAATCGTGAAAGGAGGAAATAGAGTTCACCTTCAAAACTGTACGTGCATTAATGGCTGCTCGAGTCGCCTTCTTCATCGTTCCAATGGCACTTCTGCTCATGAATATCCATGCCACAACTACAAATCGTATGCTCTCTCTCTCTCTCTCAAGTTGGGTTGTTGATCATCATTTGTTTCAAAAACTTAAGCTGGTCCAGAGATGTAACATTAGTAGTTATCTAATACAGTCAGTATAATTTTTTGATATATATGATATATCCATTTGATTTGCATTCAGCTCTATATGTAGAAGATGATTTGAAAAAAACCTCTTACTATATCATTATTAGTAATAAATACACCCGAATATATATAGGCTTGCCTCGTAAACTTCTAAGAAATTCAAAGGATTGTGTCCTATACATCTTCCCTCAAACTAAATTCATAGTTCCATCCTGATTGAAGCCGAGATGAACACTTGTTATCACCTTCTTATAAAACATTTTGTATACTCCTGTTAACGTAATGACTACTAGAGATGTTACTGCTTGTTACTATTGAATTTTGATTAAAAAAGGGAGAGTATAGTGCTTTAATGTTCTCTGACTTTATTTGTAGCTTCTTTCTATTAACAGTTAATTTATAGTTATTTTTCGAGGTAAAAGTTGTTACTATTTCATGACTCTCTTCACACCCAACTATTATTAACTGCACTTAACCACCTATAACTCTTATAACTACTTAGATTTAAGTTGGTATACATTCATTGTAATAGTAGTTTTGTTGCCAATGTCCTCTCACTTTATTGTATATGTAGTGTTCAAAAATGTATAATTCTACCCTGTTTGGTGTATTGCCCCCATGATTCCTTCTATTTTCTCCTGGTCTCCTCAAACAAGCAAAACAGATGTTTTATTTTTGCATGGATTGCATGAGAAAAATATGAAATACCCTTTTTTTTTTAATAAGTTAGTGTCTTGTAATTCAATAAAATATGATTAAATAAAATGGTACAATGCACTAACCAAAAAATGTTTTCTATTTTTTTCAAATAATTAATTTATCAACAAATGAATTATAATTTTTGTCACGGACTCTCACATTGTGTCTCGTAGAAAATCGGACAAACATAGGTGACTCCCTTGGTACGCGGGGGGGCTAGGAAGGCATTCGTTCCAGGTCCCGAGAACACCCAAGCAGTCATTTTGATATATCATTAACACTAATTGTATGGTTCACATAATAATTTAGTATCGAATCTTAGTATAAAAAATAGATTTTTTTTTGTATCACTTGTTTTTTAATCATATTTTGCCCCTACAAAGTCAGAATTCTGATTCTGCCCCTATTTGTTGCAACTAAGAAAATTGTTGCATCTTGCAACTAATAAATTTTTGAGGTTTCAGAGTTTTTCCTTAGTGTTCCAAGGTTCTAGTTTGCGTGCAAACGTAATACTCAACACCTATTTCATTCATTTCACATACAATTTTCCATTGTCCGTAAAAGTTGAGTTTTAGTGTGATGTTGTTTTCAAGTTTTTGCACAAATAACATGAATTTTTGTTATTTATTTTTTCTTTTTACAAAAACACACAAAAGAAGTTAAAGATTTTAATTAGGTACGTCGCAATCTTATCCCCACCCCCCCCCCCCCCAAGAAAACACTATGTCGCCATCACGTTGTTCTTTGTTGTACTAATTATAGAGGCTTTATCCATTAGTCATCTAATTATAGCACAATAAAAGACCTAGAGATTCGAAAATAAATAAATAATTATAAGGCTTTTTATTATTATTATTCACATGATATCATTATAAACGTAAATTATGAGTTAGTGCATTATTGATGATATAGAGTCATGTTTATACATTGATTTTATAACACATTTCCTTCTTTTTCTGTTGGTCTTCAAATTAGCCCAAGTCGGTATTTGCTTCTATAAAATCCACTCGTCCATGTGAATAATATCCCCACTTTTGGTTAGTAAATGTTTAATGTCATGCTATTATGCATTTCAATACACTAAGTGATTATCCTTTATACTAAAAAAAAAAAAAGGGTTTTAAAAACCTACAAGGACATATAGAATTTTTGAAAACCTAAAAGGGGAATAGAGTAATTTTGAAAATATGAGGGGGCCATGTTCACCTTGTCCCCTTGTCTCCATGTAGTTCCGTCGGTGCTAATATTCATATAAATTGCTTTTGCAAAAAATGGTCACAATATATATATATATATATTAATTTTTTTAATTAAATATAATTATTTAAAAAAGCGTTTTCAAACGGTGCATAACTAATTATTTTTCTTGTATAATTTTTTTTTCACCCAGGGCCTGGTGAAGCTTTTCAGTTCAGTTACTCGGGCGCTACGGGTCCTAACAAATGGGGAAACTTGAATCCGAAGTTCACAGAATGCTCACATGGAAAACTGCAGTCTCCCATAGACATTGTGAAGAAGAAGGCTGTTCTTAATAAGAAGCTAAAGCCTTTAACCAGAAGATACTATCCTGCAAATGTTACTTTGGTTGACAATGGCTTCAATGTTCAGGTTTGTTCTTGCTCTTTCCTAATATCTTTTACTTTATTTTTTAATTAAGTTTGAAATAAATTGATTCAAGAGAGATCACGAAGACAAAATAGCACAAAAGTAATTAACGTAGTTCAGATCAAAAACCTATGTTTGCAACACACAAAATCGTAAAAGACTACTGTAATGTTTGGTTTACATTTTAAAAACTGTTTTTTGTTTTTAAAAATAATTTTTTGAAAGAAAAATTGTTTGACCAGTTATGTTTGGTTTTTGTTTTTTAAAAACTGAGAATAAAAATTCGACAATTTAGAGAATAAGTTAGAACTATTTTGTGTGTTTTTTAAAATGACATTTTCAAAGTTTAGAACGCCACCGTCATACTTTCACCACCACCACCACACTTACATCACCACCATCACCATCACCATCACCACCACTCTTCCACCAACATCACCACCACTGCCACACTTCCACCACCACCACATTTATGTTTTTATTATTTTTTGAGTTACTGTCTAAACAAGTTTTAATATTTTCTATTCCATAAAACTATTTTTGGAATCATATAACCAAACAAATTTTACGACATAAAAATCAATAAAAATATTTTTTTTTAAATTTTTCGCAAAAACAGTTTTCAGATACTCACTTTATTGTCTACCTACATGAATCTCTCTCTCTCACACACACACAAATCTATCTAACATTATAGTTACAGTTAATAAGTTGAATTCTCAACTTATATAAATAAAACAAAGATTAAGATTAGTTCAATCTTCATATATTTCAATCTAATGATATAAAATTCACCCCCAAAAATTTTTTTCCGCTCAAAAATATCAACTTCTTTATATGACCCTCAATGTTAGACAATTCAATCAATACACTCTCTAATATCAAACAATCCTTTCAATTCATACCTATCTGTTTTCATTTTAATTTTAATTTGCATAATTCAAAAAATAAGATTACTATTTAAAATATAAATATTATAAGATCAATTCAAATTTGATATTTTATAATATTTTTAGACACGATGTTATTGTTATACATATATATAGGGTGATAAAGCATTCTATAAAGGAAAAGATCAATGAAGGGTAAATTACACTCTGACCTCCTAAACTATGGATAATATCATATTGTCAACTATTTAATTCACTTCCTATTTCTCTAATTGAAAATGTCTGTTATCTTTTTGGATACAAATTATCAATGTGTTGGAGACTGGAGTAAAGTGAAAAAATTTATATAATTCGAGGGTAAAATGAAACAATTTTTCATTAAATATCTAACAGAGGTAAATAACTATAACGATGTAAAACTAATCAGTTGGGGGTAAAAAAATATGATATTTGATGAGACAATGTGACAAAAGTTCATAGTTGAGGGGTCAAAATGTAATTTTCCCATCTAGAAACTAAGATTAATTGAGCAAATCAAGAATTACTCACTCCACCAACCTTTCGATTTGATATGTAATCTTGTTTTTAAGGTTGGAGCATCTAAATATACATTGCTGTCTTGTCCTTTCCTAAAATCTTTTGGTTCATTTAAGAAAAAGTCTGTGAATCTAAATGCACATGACTGGTTTAGTGTTGAGTCAATTTATCTGACAATCACAGTGGTCCGATGCATACATTCTATAATTGACTGGAGATGATGATGTGCTACATAATGCACAAGATCCTTTTCCCAACATAGCCTGGGATGGACAGGGATGTTACGTAGTACTGCAGGAGTGCAGTTCCTTTAAATGATATCGTTTTGACCATAAAACGATGTTATTTTATGTGTAAAATGACATTGTTTAAGAGAACAACACCCTTATAGTACTGCGGAGGAGTTGTAATTGTCCAAAACAATGGTTCAAAAAGGAAAAAAAACAAAGTGTGGGAATTTTTTTCCCCAGAAAATAAAGGTGCAGGATTCAACACTTCTAAAATAAAAATAAAAATAAAATTATTTATCACTTACTTTTTTCAAATCTCATTGTGGATGAAAGTCTTGTGGGATCTTGCTATATACAACAGTGTGTACTACAGTTATAGTTTTCCTTACAGTGTAGGATTGATCCATACTCGCAGGTGCGTTATGGGGAAAATGCAGGAGTGTTGATTGTAGATGGTAACAATTACACCTTGAAGCAAATGCACTGGCATTCTCCCTCTGAGCACTGCATCAATGGCGTCCAGTATGCTCTCTCTCTCTCTCCCCCTCTCTGATATTTTGTTATGAATGAGATTGGGAGTCGGAATGGTTGTTATTAAAATTGAATGAGCTTTCTTGTGGGGCGATCCAAAAAAAAGACCAAGAATAAAATTGATCAAAATAATATGGTGGAGCCATCTCGTGTGGGTAGGGCCAATCGTGCTTTGAGCCCAATTTCTGGTCCACGGGCCGAAAACCGAGCCTTAACATCACCAAAAATACTCGGCTCAAACCTAGATTATTACTCATTTGGTAATTGCAGGCATGATGCAGAGCTCCATCTAGTCCACATGGCTGATGATGGCAACTTCTCAGTTGTGGCAATCCTCTACCGGTTAGGCCATGCTGATCCCATTGTTGCTCAGGTAATGTTAATCACAACACACTCATAGTTTAGTTGCAGTTTTTAGCGACTTAACCGCATCCATGTGATTCTGTCAAATGTACATTTCCAATAAATTATTATAACTCGTCAATTTCTCAATTTTTTTTAAAAAAAAGTTGACTTGTGTGTCACGTGGTGTGTTTAACTCCTATAAAAATTTCTAAAATTTTTTTTACTAACTTATCTATTGCATTTTTATTTGTACATTACCTTTGCTAGGGTATGGGCAACTCAAGATGTGAACCATATCCTAGCATTAAGACCCAACAAATGACCCGTGGCCTATTGGTTGGCCCAAATTTTGTATCCTATGGGTGACCCATTAGCCCGACATACAGCATGGTGGGTTGTCCTTTCGTGGAAGGGTTGGATCAGCCCATTGGCCAGTACACACCACGACTAGCTGACCCATAGGCAGCCACGGGCGTTTGATTTGTGGGTTAGCTCGGATAGGTGCTAACTCTTGCCTGATGTGATGGTTAGAGTCGATAGTTGAACGAGTTCGAATCGAATCTAAAAAACTAATTTTCTTAATCAAGCGTAAAAAACTGTTCAAGTTTGGAGCTTAAACGAGTTTAAAATGAATTGAGTCCAAGTATTTACACATAAACAAATAGAGTCTGTTAGATTCATTTTTTAAACAAATCTAAAAAATTGTTCAAGTTCGACTCGTTTTCTAAACGAGTTGAACTTGAATGAGGCAAACTCGAGTTAGCTTAGTTTGATTAAGAATTCTAGTGCTAGTATATAAGATAAGAGATTCATAACACAAGGCTTGATTGAGAAAAAAAGAAGTAGAAAAAACTAGAAAAATCGTCTCAACAAGAACACACCTTTTAGATGCACGTAACTACCCACAAACTACATACATCAATTTGGATTTTTGTGCTGCCATATGCATGCATCGGTTATAACTTCAAAACGAAAGTAGTCGTAAAAAAGTTAAAGAATTTGTGACACTACTTTTTAAAGGTTACAGATACAGAAAAAATTGGATGAGTTGGAAAAGGAGGTGCGCGCAGGTAAGGAAGAGGCTCATATTGCTTTGGGGACCGTTAACACCAAGAAATTGAGGAGAAGGACCCGAAAGTACTACAGATATGTTGGCTCTCTCACCACACCTCCATGCTCCCAAAATGTCATCTGGCACATACTTGGCAAGGTAACACTTACATTCACTTATACCTCCATACATTCACACACATTCATACATACTTTTTTTTGGGAGGGAGAAAGGGAAAGGGGACTTGGACCTTTGACTTCAATAAGGTAAAGCGACAAAGAGTATCATTGGACTAAAAACTCATTGGTAACACATGTTCATACATATGGACAATGTTTGAAAAAAAAAGTTTTTTAAAGATCAAGTGATGGGTGGTTGATTTGGTTGTGAAAAATAGAATTCTAGTGTTGGATTTTTTGGTTACAAGTTGTATGTGGAACACAACAAAAGTAATAAATAGGTCCCATGTTAAGACATCAAACATGAATAATTACATAGATTAGTTTAGGATTTGATTAATACTTGAAGTGTCATAACCCACACAACATGACATGACTCGAATTTCACCTCTAGTTAAAAAGGGAAGAGAAGAAATTAAAGATTGTAGAAAGGTTTATAGGACTTGTTTTGCACTACGAGCTCAAATTCAAGTTCAAACTAGAGTAAATCCAAACAATACTCATTGAATGAGAATTAGACCTATATTAGGTTATTGATTAGACTAAAGATGCTACTTTGTTATGTTTTCATGATTAAAAAAGATAAATGCTACATAAAAACAAATTAATTAAGCTCAAGCCTACCCTACCCAGCCTATTGATTAGGATCAACTTGAATGTTAAATGAGTTTAAAAATTTAATCATATCATATTCATTTAACAAGCAAAAACTGAGTTGAGCCCAAAAAGCTTAGCTCTTCAAACAGCCATAGTTAATTATAAGCATTTGTTACCATTTGCATCTCTGTTTTTATTTGGTAATGGAGTTTATAGTATTGGTTCATAAAATGTAGGTGAGATCAATATCGAAAGAGCAAGTAAAGGCTTTGAAGGCTCCACTGAAATCGACATGCAAGAACAATTCGAGGCCTGTGCAGGCACTCAATGGACGACAAATTGAACTTTACGATGAGATTCATTAGTTAAAACCAATATTATTATCGTTATCTTCAATAACAAGTTATGATCAATGAAAAAAAAAAAAGAGAGTTGTGCCAATGAACAATATTTTCTTACTTGATTACTATACTGAAATTTACATTTTCTAGTAAATGGGTTTCTCATTGAGAGTGGTATGTTTGACAAGTTCCGCAACACAATTTGTACCCAACACAACACATCACAAACTTGAAAATGATAAGATCCGCTAACATGAATTATAAAGGAATGAGGTTAATGTCAAACACGCATAATTTGATTTTGACACCATTTAACCAGTATTGTATGATTTGTTTTTCATTTATTGACCTAGTATAGTATGTATTGTTGTAGAATTAAATTATTTTTTATTTGATTTTGCTAGGAAGTGGGTCAAGTAGATTTTAATTTATGGAGGACCTTCATGTGGTGAATTTGGTTAAGTGAGGGAGTTCTAATCTTGGGCTTTCAGGTTCATGGTTATTTTTTTTTTTGCAATGGGTTTTTCAGGTTTGCGTCGACTAATTTCTTAAATTTTAAAATTGACCACCGTAATTTGAACTAGTTTAAAAGAATGCACTTGCAACAAAATTGATTAGTTTCTAATGAGTGGGTTGATAAGAGGCCATTTCTTCATTTAGTCCACTACTTTTGTGGTGAATTGTACCACCGTGTTTTCCAAGGGTTTCCAATTATAGCTAGTTGGAAAATTGTGGTTTTTTTTCCAAGAACTAATAATGAGGCTTCAAATAGTATATTTTTATTAATAATTGTCATTTTCTAGTACAAAGATAATATGCCCGCTTAACGACTAGGTTTGTGTTTTTACGATTAGGTTTGTGGTCTTCTATTTATTATACGGTCATATTAGACAATTTTATATCAATCTTATGTCACGTTGATATAATGGATGAGGTCACCACCTATCTCTTGTGAAACATTTGATTTTAACCTATTCATAGTTATGTATATCTAAATTTGTGTTGTTACATTTAAGTTTGTATCAATCTATTTATTATACGGTCATATCAATCTCGTATCAAGGTGGTAAATTGTTTGAGGTAACCACCCTCCCTTTTAATCCCATATCAATGGACAACAGTAACCACCTATGTTTGAAGTGCGTTCTTTGTCAATTAATAAGTCTATGGTATCGAGTAGGAGTGTTCATGGATTGGATCGGGCCAGGTCCGTGAAATTTTTTTTATGCCAGGCCTGAGTAGTGTAGGCCTAAATTCTTATTTAAGTGAGTTATTGGATGGGTCGGGCTAGACTTCGAGTAAGGATAGACTACCTATAGCCCAACCCACGAGTCTATTGGGTGGGCTTGTTGGGCAAGCCTGCTCGCGGGCTTATTTTATATACGATTTTATTTAAAAATAATAAATATTTTTGTAACTTAATATTTGTGTAAATTATATTTTTAAATCAAAAGTAGAGTCAAAATGGATAAAAATAAAATAATAAATAATTTTATTTTTAATTAGGAAATGAACTACATCCAATAGAATGAATACATTACAACTAGGTTGACACCTACTCGCTTATCTATTATTTCATTACTCTCGCTTTATTAGTAGTTTATCACTATAGACAGTTAAGTTATAGTTATTTTTCCAGGTAAAAGTCCTCACTATTTCATGTCTCTCTTCACAATCAACTGTTACTAACTGTTCTTAACCACCTATAGGCTCTAACTCTCATAACTACTGAGATTTATGTATTATATAATTTATTCTCACCTTTTCTTTTTCTTCTACTTCTTCTTCGTATTTGGAGATGGGTAATGTTTGTGCACAACCCTAGTATATTATGAAAGATATTAAGTTGGTATACATTCATTGTAATAGTAGTTTTGTTGCAACTAAGAAAATTGTTGCATCTTGCAACTGATAATTTTTTAGGCTCGGAAGTTTTTCCTATAGTGTTCAGAAGTTTTAGTTTGCATGCAAACGTAATAATCAAGAACTATTTCTGTTCATTTCACATACAATTTTTCATACTTTGTAAAAGTTGAGTTTTGGTGTGATGTTGTTTTCAAATTTTTGCCTAAATAGCATTGTTGTTTGTTCAAAACACACAAAAGAAGTTAAAGATTTAATTAGGTACGTCCCAACTTTTTCCCCACCCCCCTCCCAAGAATACACTATGTGGCCATCACCTTGTTCTTTATAGTGCCTGTTAGGGAGGCCCTATCCATTAGTCATCTAATTATAACACAATAAAAAAACCTAAAGATTCGTAAAAAAACAGTTATAAGGCTCTCTTTTTTGTCTTTTGGTCTTGAGGAAAAAGAGAAAACACATGGAATTGCAATTTTTTTAAATTACCATTTTATTAATTTTTAGATTTTTTTCTACTTTTTATTTTTTGTTTTCATTTGCTCATTCCTCCAAACTTAATCACACATATAACAGTACGTATTCACATGAGGCCATTATAAACGTAAATTATGAGTTAGTGTATTATTGATGATATAAAGTCACGTTTATACATTAATTCTAGAAAAAATTTCAGTCATATCCTTTCTAGTTTATTATCTTTAAGAATACTCCCTCTATTTTTTAAATCTTCACTGACATTCCTATCAGATTAAAGGTGTTAATTAAAATATAATTTTATTAAATTGTTCATGATATATTTGAAGAAAAATTTCATCAATACCTCCTTTAGATAGGAATATCTTCAATGAGACACCCTCTATTTTTTAATTTTTTTTATATATTAAAATTCGCACCAATTAAAATTTAAATCAAGTTAATTAAAATTTATTTTATTTGTTTTAAAACTTGAGTCGTTTAAAAATTATATTTTTTTATATATTAAAATTTGAACTAATTAAAATTCTATTCGAACCGATTAAAAATCAACTTGAATCAAATTTTAATCAACTTGCATTGAATTTTAATTAACTCGAATTTTGATACATAAAAAATATAAATTTTAATCAACTCAAATTTTAATACGTAAAAAATAAATTTTAATCAACTTGAATCGAATTTTAATTTGCACAAATTTTAATCAGTAAAAAAATATAATTTTTAATTGACTCGAAGCGAATTTTAATCGGCACTAACAGCTCAAGTATAACTCAAATCTGCTTCAATTTTAGTACGTAAACAAACTAAAATTTAATTAGCTCAAATCGAATTTTAATCGACTCAAATTTTAATATATAAAAAAATAAATTTTAATCATTTTGAATTTTAATATGTAGAAAAATAAATTTTAACCGGTTCAAATTTTAAACAAATTTTATATAGAAAAATTGTTTAGGGTTTATGTATGAGTATTTTTGGTATGTTACATGAATGTTTTTGGTTAGAAATGGTAGTTTAATGACAAGAGATGTCAGTGATATTTAAATATAAATTAGAAGGAGTGTCACTGATGTTATTGATAATACAGAGGTAACCTTGAAGATATAATAAACTAAAAAGGGTGTGGCTAAAAATTTTCCTTAATTTTATAAAACATTTCCTTCTTTTTTTGTTGGCCTACAAATTTGCCCAAACAATTTTCTTCTATAAAACCCACTCGTCCATGTGAATACAATATCCCCTATTTGGGTAGTAAATGTTTAATGTCATACTATTATGCATTTTCATACACTAACTGAATATCCTTTATACAAAAAAAAAAAAAAAATTTAAAAACCTACAAGTACATATTGAATTTTTGAAAACCTAAAGAGGGAATTGCTTTTGCAAATGTAGTTCCGGAGTAAATATTGAATGTAACGGTGATACTATGTTTATAATTCTGAAATGGTATCACCAACCAATAATAAAACACCAAGTGAACAAGGTGAACTCCACTTGGATAATTATTTGCAGAGGATTGATTATTAATTTTAGTGAGACCCATTTACTTATTTATTTTGATATTATTATTTGGTGATACTATAACAGCATTGACACGTGGTATAATTATTGTAATAAATATTTTCTCATAGTTCCGTTACTGCTAATATATATATATATATTTATATTTAATTAAATACAATTATTTTAGAAAAATTGTCAAACATTACATAACTAAAAAATTTCATGTTAAATTTTTTCACCCAGAGCCTGGTGAAGCTTTTAATTTCAGTTACGCGGGCAATACGGGTCCTAACGAATGGGGAAACCTGAATCCGAAGTTCTCAGCATGCTCACATGGAAAACTGCAGTCTCCCATAGACATTGTGACGGAGAAGGCTGTTCTTAGTAAGAAGCTAAAGCCCTTAACCAGAAGATACTATCCTGCAAATGAAACTTTGGTTGACAACGGCTTCAATGTTGAGGTTTGTTCTTGCTCTTTCCTAATATATTTTACTTTATTTGTTGATTAAATTTAAAACAAATTGATTTGAGAGAGAAAATGAAAGACAAACGAGCACAAAAGTAAATTAATGTAGCTACAATTGTTGTACTCGTTTTATTGTCTACCTAAGTGAATCAAACATGCACACATCTATATAATATTACAGCTAAACAATTAAATTCTCAACTTATGAAGGCACAACAACGGTCAAAATTAAATCAATTTTCATATATTTCGATTCAATGATACGAAATTCATCCAAAAAAATTTTGTCTCGCCAAAAAAATTTTAAATTTTCTACACAGCTCCAAATGTCAGACAATTCAATCAACATACTTTTCAAAGTCAAACAATCCCTCCAATTCACAATTATCTCTTTCCATTTTAATTTAAAAATACGTAATTAAAAAATTAAATTACTATTTAAAATATTATAAGATTAATTCGAGTTTGATACTGGATAATGTCTTTAGATACTGTATTATTGCTATACATATTTATACTACTAACAAAATTATCTTAATATGAAAAAAATTTTAATCACTATTTTACCTTTACAAAAAGTTGTAAAGGCCACTCTATCATTACATAATTAAATATTTAAATTACCATCATATCGTTATCTATTTAAATCTCCAAATTACCTCTAGCATCTCTTTTAGTGATCTATTCTTCATGTATAAATATCAGTTATATATATATATATATATATATATATATATATATATATATATATATATATATATATATATATATTGATTGACTATATTATCCTTAGAAATATGTGCACCATTAAAATTTTTCAATAAAAGTGTTTAGAAACTTCATCAATCTAACATTACTCATTTTATATACAAAAATAACATGCATTGCATACACACACACACACACATATATAATCATAAATATAATTTTTATGCCCCTTTCATTTTTATGACAAAAATAATCATATATATAATTTTTTAAAATTAATTATATTA